TTTTACAAATACGTGTGCCGGACTGTGAACGGCTCACGTATTTGTAAAATCTAAGTGACTCGTACAACATGGAATTCATATAAAACGGAATTATCTACAGTGTTATAGGGGGGTCGACTTGTACTTAAATTTTCGAAAATTTGTATATTAATTTATAGAAATTTCGAAATTTTTAAAGGTAAAAATAAACTAAATTAATTCATTTTCTTTCCACAAATCGACCGATTAAATGAAATAAAACGATTGTTTATTTATCTACCAGTTTATTTCTAATCACAGGCGCCATTGTTATACGGTATTCGGTCTCTTAAAGTATAATTATTTTAAAAAAAAACTTAAATTTTTATTAATTTAACCACAAAACTTACGCAACGTACGTAATTGATGCGTAAGATTAGAATAATTCGTTAAAATACGTGATGAGGGAATTAAAAATTCTAAAATTTACTCTCCTTTACTGTATCTTTCGACATCTAAATTACACTTTAAAAAGTAATAATTACACCGACGATAAGTTGAAGTATAAATATACGATCCTTAATTATCTTAAGCCAGAGAATTGCTTCAATTTAAATTGATACGCTCTCGATATAAAAATTTAAAAATATATATATATTCTTTAGCTACGTAAAAAAAAAAAGGTCAAAGTTCGTAAAGACCTAATACTGTCGCAATATGACGTCACAAGAGTTAGCACACGACGCATTTTGGAACACATTGTGGATGCCGCTCGCGAATTTCAATTTTATCTTAGTTTTATTGTTTTCCCGTGCACCCACCTTACAGAACTCCAAACAGCCCACCATGATGTCACTTTTGGTTCCATTTTAATGAGATTCTAACACTTCCCATGTTAAACATCGGCCCAGTAGGCGCTTTGCAGAACATCAACGATCCGCTCCTCTCATCTCTCTCCCTCTCTCTCTGTGTCTCTCTCTTTCGTCCGATGACTTTACCTATGCGGTGACGATCGATGTTGCGCATGTCTGGATGTCTGTGCAAGGCCATAAGGTTTGTTATATTTTTCTTGGCAAATAACTAATATTCCAGGTATTCAAAACAAAACGACAATCATTCGACAACCTTAATTATATAATAAGATCCTCTCGGTTAAAATTGGATTTTTCTAAGAAACATCATAGGTTTGTATTATAATACCTAGTCTATATACTTATTTATTTATTCGTTGTTTAAATGGACCCTTTTTTTTAAAGGAAAACACGGGGATGAAGTTGGCTCGAATCCAAACGGTGTAGGATGACCCGAATTGACCTCAACTCTTGTAGGTGGCAAGGGTGTTTATTTTTATTATTATTATTTTTTGAATAAACAAAACCGATTAACGCCCTTTGCATTTTAATAAAGGGATCCTTTTTTGTGCAGGAGAAATAAATCTTGTTTTGTTTAATAACATTAATCGCAATTACTTGACGTTATCAACAGTAGGAATGATGATATAATCCCTGTTTACGTATACTGCAGCCTTTAAAAGCTTCACCTCTACGATAGGGTGTAATTAAGATTTCCGAGGAAGGATCGTAATTTCGTTATTGCTTTGTGTTTGTGGAAGATAATAAATGAAGTTACTGTGTTTACGAACAGGAAACAGTTTTACAGTTACGGTTAAAAATGTATACACGACGTTGCAATCAAATATGAGTCATAACAACTGGAAGAGGTTCTAAAAGAAAAATAACGTAACTGGATAAATGTATCGGTTACATTTGTTACTCGAAATTTAAATTATAGCCGAACCTACAATAGAGGACACCTCTAAAAGGCGGCCTTTAAATAAAAATGCGTACAAAATAACCTCCGAACAACGGCCTAGTTTTATCTTCCCTTTACTGGCCTTTGTTCGGAGGTTTATTTAGATTAATACGAGTGTGATTATACGAATAAACAGATAAAATATAACGTAAATACACACACACCTATACATGTTTCTTTTTACACAAGATGAAGATAGAATAGCAAATTATAACAACATTCTGCTTCATAAAACGTTTAAGCTTACTATTTTTAGAGGCAGACAGTCGAATACATCACGCCATACTTTCATATTATAAATAAATAGATAATATAAATAAAAATAAATGTGACCTTAATAAATATATTAAATATTTGACAATTAAATTAAATATTAAATAAGTATTTTATTATTCTTAACCTATTTTTACTGTTGTAATTTTTAAACGAAGATATTATTATTTAGGCTAATTAATCAATATATGAATGTCAGAAAATACAAATAATTTCCATTCTATTGTTATTATCTATACAAGTACTGTACATATAAATTAGAATGTCTGTTCTCTATATATTCTTTAATCCTGTTGACCGATCTGCACTAAACTTTTCATACTTACTCTCTAGAATCCTACGAAAAATACAGACTAAACTGTAACCTGACACCGCACCCCCCCCCCGATTTCATTCCCTATTAACTCCTAAACCCTGTTACCGATTTGCACCAAATTTTTCATGCTTACTCTCAAAGGAATAATAAATTAAATCAATGATCTTATGGCATAAAGTCACTTCGATAAACATAATTTAATTCCAGTAACATATAGGAATAATAAAGTATTTAAGCTATTATTTCTAAAGGTAACCGGAAAGATTAGTCACATGCGGTGAAAGATAAATATCAGTAATTAATGTTGATAAAAAAAATCAAATTATCTACAATCTGAATTGCAAAAAAAAAGCAGTCTTGTCTTATCTTTCAGAGATACAAAACAGCTGATAAAATTGCAAAAGCGTGTTTCTTCTATCCTAGAACTCAATTTAAAAATCTTTAACGCTTGATTTAACGAACTATTTTGCCGAAAGTGATTAAATGAAGCGTTTCGGTGCTGATTCAGAATATTACAATTTGACCGAAGGGCATTCCTGACCTTAAAAAACAATAGGAGAAAAATACACCCCAAAGGAAAGTAATTACGTGAAAATTACTCATAATTGACAAACTGAGAAGAAGGACAATTTCTCTTACAATCCTTTTGGCACGTGTCAAAACCAAAACCCTTTACTTTTCTGTAAAATTAATCTATAATAGTACTTATAATTGTTCGTACAATTTAATATTTCTTAATATTTAGATTTACCGTAAAATAATACCTAAATTCACAAATTTAACTGAAATTCTCATAGAAATACACGTGAAGAAAACGGGACACTCGATAAGGAGGAGAGGCACCATCTTGTATTATTCCATCAATCTAATCGGATCCTTTGTTTTAAAATCGATTTACTATTTAAATATTTTCACGTATTTTTTTTCCTTTATTCTTTTTACGGGTATTAGATTATATTTGTTCATAGAACACTGATCTATCTGTGTCGTAACAGTACATAGTTACTACCATTTCATTTGAAAACGACCAATATTTAGATTTCGAAATGGCGAGTGATGATAAAAACTTGTTTAATGTTATAAATTAAAATCTAACTGGTTGTATTTTTCTAAAGTAAATAATTCTTGAAGTATTTTATTTGCTTTGTCTCTTACGCATAGAAGAATCTACTTTATAGGAAGTGAAATATTGAATTTCCTCAAGAAAAAGTGCACTTCTCGGTATCGAAATTAATGTTTACTGGAAACTGTCAAAACTTAAAAATAGTCAAAGTATTTTAGTCATTTGTGATTATTTTTAGTTCCAACAAATGGAACTAAGAAATTGGCAAGAACAATTGTTCATCGCTCAAATCATACATCACCCCGCAATTAACACGAAAAGTTATATAAATAAATATCATTATTTTTTCACAGTACAGAAAGATTTTCATGTTTTCCATAGATTATATTAGGTTGATGGAGTAAGATTTGGTTTATTTGTATACGACAACGTTACAGGAGGGCGATCTGCCGAAGGGGGTACCTTCCGGGAGGGCTTTCTATAGAAAAATGGCCCTCTTTAATGTGTTATTAACGTTTAGAAAACGACACGTGGCCTGCCCAGCCTACTGTCGAGGGGCGAACCCACGACTAGTGTTCGGTAGTTTTATAGTTTGTATATGAAATCGTTCCATTTTCTTTCTCCAAAAGAGAAGACTTTAAATTTTGATTTAGACATTCGAAGTCGGACATTAAAAATAAATATGAAAATTTATATATTTATTTTCAAATGGTAATGCACCTAAATTTTAAAACAAAACGTCACAAATGTAATAAAAATACATTTTTTAAACCGATAATTTATTCATTTGCATGCATTTTTCAAAAAGTTTTTTGTGTAATATTTTCGTATTTCTCTTCAATATCATTTCGTACCCATTTTATTTCTATTCGTGTTTGGAAATAAAGAAGATAAGTAATGGCTAAACTTTTATTTATTAAAAGAATACTAGTAAATTACTTTATATAGGTTTAGATTTGTTTATTAATTTATCGCACTGAAAATCGTAAATACTAATTTGAACTGCGGTCGCGGGTTCGTGCCTGACCTGAGTTATCCGCCTGAAGTTTTTCGGGTTATCTTTACTAAATAGGCATAGAAAATCCACCGGAAGATACCCTCTTCAGTAGATCGTCCTTGTGTTGCATTGTAGCATTCCATCAATCTAATCCAATCCAATTTACAAAAAAAGGTTTTGTTTGGTTGGATTTTGGCAATGGTACACACGGGCGATTTGCCACTAAGGATGCCTTCCGGGTGGACTTTCTACGGAAAACTGGCCCCTATTTAGATGCTACAAACGAAAAAAAACACGTGGTCATGTGTTTGATTGCAAACTCGCGACCATCAGTGTTTGGTTGTTTTATCCATAGCCATTGGCTGCTTCTTTAAAATTGTTTAACGTCATAATTATTAATTAATTAAAATTAAAACAATTCATCTTACATAATAGCATAATAAGCTTAGTCTATCGAATTTTTCCATGAGTAGTCTCTTCCGACCACCCTATTGCCGAATCCACGATGGGTTTGATTAAAAAGTTCCTCTGAATGCCCATAGGCAGAAAAGAAGAAAACACTGTTAAAAATACACAAAATATTTAATTATATAAACCTTTATTTAACTAATTTTGTATTTTAATTAATAATTCTTTTTCCAAAATTTATTTCTTTAATTTATCATCCGGCTTATCAAAATTCTCGGATAATAGAAAATCCCTATCGTCGTTATAGTGGCAATGATTAGATCCCAAACAGTTCATCAATAGTTTTCGAATTTTGCGATTAAAAACTTTAAAATTAACTCTCTGTGCCTCCAGAGTTTCACATTTATCTACATCTCTTGTAGAATTTATATCTTCTAATGGGGGAATATAGAGATCTTCCATCTGAACGGGCGAATTATTATCTAAAGACAATGTTCTCTCCTTTGTTTCGCCCAATAATATATTTCTATTGCATTCATTTTCACTTATACAATTAATTTTCAAAGTATCTTTCGATGACATCCCAGGATTTCGATTTCTTTCGAGTAATTCCATTGGTATTCTATCGCCTTCATCCTGATTTAAATATGGATTCCGCTTTGTTTCTACTTCTCTAATTGGATTTATATCAATAGAATTAGAAGATTTGTATTGTTTTAACATTCTCACATTTGGTATTGTAAATTTTACTCTCGGAGCACTTTTAATTCTTTGCATTTCAGATGAAATATATGACACAAATCGTTTCCGTTCTTGCATCTCGTCCATTATAATTGATCCATCGGATGATGAGAAATTCTGATTCAAAATTTCATTCCCAATAACTATTGATGCGTCATTATTTTCATTAACATTATCATCGTAAGAACGTTCGGTGCCAATATTTGCGCGTACCTGTATTATAAATTCATTGGGTTCGTCTAATGTCCTCACTCTACCTATTTTTGCTCCACTTGAGTCGGATGGGTTACGAAAATAATGCAATGTGGATACAGGATGCAATGGATTGGCATTAATTAAGTCTGATTCAATACCATTGCCTTCCCGCGAATTATTAACGTTTTCAAAATAACTGTTGGTTCCTTTTGGCTGTTCTTTTTGATTCACTCGCCATGGAAAATCATTCAGAAATTTCTTAATTTTATTATTAATAAAATTAGCTGAAGATGATTTACCAGCTTTAAAATCGTTAGCAATTTCACTTGTTTCATCTTCTTTACTCGATATACCAAATTGTTTTTCTTTTTGTAATTGTTTCTTACAATATTTTAAATTATTTTTCAATTCGTTAACTAATTTCTTCTTATTTTTTATTTCGTTTTTCAATTCTTTAGCGCAATTGTGATATTTCATTGAATTAGCTGGCAAGATCAAAGAGCAATATTTTTCGCATTGAATTAATCGATAGTTGCATTCTAATCGTTCGTGTTTAAATCTATCTTTAATTTGCATTTCCTCTTGGCATTTATTGCATTTTATTATTCCATAATCACAATTAACCAAGTGAGAATCGTATTCCTCCAGAGCGAAATTCTGCTTGCAACCGTGTACGGCATTCGGGCAACGAATGGTCAATTTCATTATCATATTTTTTATTATCGGACCTACGGGTTGAAGTTCGAATAAACTAACCGATTTCCTGCAAACTGGGCAGTTATTTTGAAAACTCAACCAATCGCAAATGCAATTTCTACAATAAACGTGAAGACATTGGCATTCTACTGGATCGTAGAAAACGCATCCGCATATGCTACATATTAAATCTTCGTTAGGATGAGGATCAAAATTTTCCACTTGATACGCTGTATGCGGTGGAGCCATGTTTTCGTTTACAATTTCAATTCAATTGTTCTTAACAGATGAACGATTTAGTGTTGTAATTGTTACGTGATACTTTTCTCGATGCCTTTGTTATATAAATTAAAATTCATTATATTAAGATGATAATTTATATTCGGAACCAGTGCCGGATTATCCACTAGGCACGTGCCTACGAGTCTGAATCTTGGGGGTCTTAACACTAGAAAAAAATACAGCAATTGCAAATGTATCATAATATTAGGGCTATGAATAAAATTAAATTAAAGGGTAGTAGTGTTTATCTCATTCGTTAAAACAATATTTTACTGCTTCTTACGGCACTACAGGTGTTCCTTATAAGGCCCACCATAATAATGATGGACTTTATTAGATACAATACAAAAGTTAAAAAATTATCTTAGCAAATTTGTTCTTTCAGGATTCAACTATACCTGCTACTGGGGGGAAAAAGAGATAACTGGACTCCTAAGGGTATGGCCAAAGCCTTGGATGCTGTTTAAAAAGGGAAAAGTCAGAGAAATGTAAATAGCAGGTTTAGCATTCCTCGCAGAGGTTTAGTAACCATTTGAAAACAGATTCAACTGATATGAGAATGGGAAAAACTCCACTGCTGTCGAAAGCACAGGAACAGGTGTTGGTACACGAAAATTTCTGCGTTTTTTCACACATTGGAGTTATTTTAATCCCAAAAAACTTAGAAATCGTGTTTTCGAAATCAACAATATACAAACTCCCTTTAATAAAAATCAAGAATGGGTTCATGATGAGTGAGTGCATTGGTTATCAGCCTGAGGGTGTGGAAGTATTTATTTGTCTAAAATGCGACGAAAATTAATAAGCCACTGAATCTCAATAGAGGATCTTATTTGGAACATTGCTCTTAAAAAGGCACAATGTGAAGCTAATTTAAAAGAAATACAATCATTTGCCGAATAATACACTAATCACTACTACGTAGGCAGTGATTAGTGTTATACGTTTGTTTACACATAAGCTTATATCAGTTTCGATTGTTGTTACGCCAACTTTAAAAGTAGGCCTTATTTGAGCAACGTACTTTATAGAAAACATACAAAATAATCACTTCACTATCATTTTTGTTTATTACGTGCGTTTTCTCAGAAAAACAAGACGTTTTAAATAAAAGAAATTCTCTAAGAAAAATACGATAATGTTTTATATTTCGATACAACTTCTGAAATAAAAAACATTTATGCAAAATTTAGTTTGATAGGATAAAGCAACGTAACACCAGGACGATCTGTTCACATGTTGCGTTGCCTTTTTCCGAAAGATACCTCCCGGGAAAACTTTGTAAGAGAAACTAACCCCTGTTTAGATGCTAGACACGTGAAGAAAACCCGGAAACACGTAACAGTTGTCACGTGTTTCTGGTCACATGTGCCAGTTGGTCACGAGTGAACCCATCAACCATCATGGTTTCATCCAGAAGACCACTAGTGGGCTATTTATGTAAGACGAAATTCTGTAAAATTTCCCATCGACATGGATTGATATAAATCCTATTCCCTCTTGATTTTTATAAGGATCTTAGTAAGCCCACATCCAATATCATATCGTCTGTGCCGAGTGATTCCGCTGCGAACCAAAGCAATACAGTACATATATTCAAATAAAATAAAATTCTTATATAAATACCATCTGTCAGAAGATAATATTAATATAAGAATTTTATTACTTTTAAAATATATCTTACTGAAATTATAAATAATTTCTGAACATTAAAAAATATAAAATCCAATTCAAAATTCCAGAAGAAAATACGCTGTTTAGTTGTCTCGCAGTTGTTGTATAGAGCATTAATAATAATAATAATAAAATTAATAAAGATTCCGAAGTCTTTACAAGCAGAAGGAAGAGAAAAAGGAGGAGAAGAAGATAGAAAGGAGGAGGAGGATGAAATGGATAAGTAAAAAAAGAAAATACATATTATTATTATTATATATTGAGTAATTAAATATACACGTAATATTTTAATGATTTTTTTTCCTTCATTTCTCTATAATTCAATACATACAAATAGACAAATAAACAAACTAAATTACATTCCAAACAATTTAGAAGTTGAAAATTTCACTAAGAAACATTTATTGAAAATGTTCGATCAATAGAAATTCCACGAATTCCCTAAACGTTCTATAAGAATGCCACGTTTTCCTCCTTCGTCATCCTTTAATGTCTTAATAAATTTTAAATTTTATTATGAATGCCGCTAGCTTTAATACGATTACATCAATATGTACGCGTCAAAAATTTTCTATATTTTATAAATAATTTAGTACTTTAGTAAATATTTATGAAACGATTATTATGCATTTGAAAGAGATAAATAAACGGATTTTGATTATTTATCCTAAATTCAAACGTTATTATTTTATTTAGAAAATTATTTTGTAGGAGAAATCGTATGAAAATGGGTTGCAATTTGAAAAAATTGTAGACCTATAAATCCTCATTGTCGTCCGTCCGTCCGTCCTTCCTTCCTTTATCTCGAGAATGGAATTAGATAGATAAAATCTGAATCCAGATATGGAAACCTTGGATGTAGGTGGTCCTCGATTAACTATATACGAACTTCCTATGCAAATTAGAAGTCAAGTTATTTCAATTCTAAATTCCCTCCCCCCTCCGAAAGCAATTAATAGATGACCGACACGACTCTATTATTAAAGGAAAAGTATGATGTACGGGGGTAAGCCACTACTAATTTGATAGGTGGAGAGTGTATATTTTATATTAAATAAATTAAAAATATGATTAAAAATTGACTCCTTGGGAATCGAATGTATACTATAGAGATATACCGGTACGTATGTCCACAGCTTTAGTTTGAAATTCTGACTTTATCTTTGAAGACAAATCTAGTAGTTAACAATCGGTAAGATCACCATCTAACTGAAGATACGCTGAGAACCGCAAATCGCCGATTTTTTCAATTCACTTAAGTTAAAAACGATTGAAAACACTGCTGTAATGAATTATTCATTTCTTTTTTTTTATGCCCCATCATCATCCATCAATTCAGAGAATCGGACGGATCCGTTCACAGTCATCGCATAAAAACCTTTTATCGATAAAATCACAAGAGAGTTCCATAAGATTTCATTGCTAATGGCATTAGAAAATAGCCCTTTCTACAAAATTGGAAACTCTTCTTTGGAAATTGTAGATTAATCTCACGGTTATTTCTTTCCGACACGCCTAATCCTTCTTTCGTTTATAAGTATCTGATGTAAGATTAACGAAAAGAATTCTCTATATGATATTAGTTATATATTATTTATCATTCCCGAAATCTTATTTCATAAAATAAAAATCTATTCCGATAACCGTCTCCTGTTCAAAATAATTTAATGAAATTTTTCACGTTTTCTTTCGTGCATAATGCACGGTGGCAGGGAACCGGTATTTGGGGGAGCCCCAGTTACAACGTACAAATCTACATTCATCCCTGCAGCGTTGTAGACGTAACCAATAACCGTTAGGGAGACAAGCCAGGCACTTACCCCTCTCCGGGATCGAGTACCTATGTGGAGGTATACACTAGCTATCTGGAAGTAGCCACTAGCTATGTGGAAGGAGACAATAGCTCTTTAGACAAAGTAAAACTCTTTAGATATTGTATATACGCGTGTATATGTGCCTTTGATCTTTTCCCTGTACTTAACTGAATTTTTCTTCATTTATTTACTTACCAAAGAGAACCTGGACCCCTTTGTTTTTCTTTGGTTTATACTACTGATAATTTATATAAAAATATTCAAACATTCTGTAAATGTTTGCAGAAATAAATTGGGAATTGAGAATTGTCGTAAATTCTTTTTTAATAAATAACTCTTCTGAATGGAAAACAGCCAAATGACAATGCTACAGAAAATTCTTGACTAAAATATTTCAGGGCTGGCAACCAAAACAGTTTCTAGGCAGTCTAACAGTAGTACTGTACATAACACTTTCTATTATTAATTACATTCTTTCATACTAAATAAGTATAATCTTTTAAAAAATTTCTATATAAATTAAGATACAATTGACAACGTCAATTATTAATTAATCGATGGGGAGCAGACTACTATTGTACGAAAAAAGGATATAAATTTGAATCAATGATAATAGAATTATATAGAATATTTCCTAATTTAAACAAAATTTAATATATTTATACATTTATTTTTATAGTTTAAATTCGAGGAAATTTGCATAAACAAAGTTAAATCCTTCATCTATAAAACATTAAATAGTACTTCGATAAATCTATTTAAATTATAACTTAACGGGGATTTTAAAGTTTAACTATTTAGTAAATAATTAAAAATTCCCTATTTCAATTAAAATTCGGGATAATATTATTTGAAAGAAAACTGTGCGAAGAGAATTTCTAATTTATTTTTTTATTTTACTTCACATAAATCAATCTATAATATATTTATATAAGTATTTATAACCCTATCGTCTACATCCATCACTTTCTTTGTCGTGTTTCTTAACAATATTTCAATTTTCAACGGTTATACGTCTTAGTATGTTTCGTAGCATGTGAAAAATTAATGATATCACAAATGTTTCATCGCATGATTAGACTGAGGATAACACTGAATAACAAATGACTGCATATAAACTAGAATAATGTAAGATGACTGAACTTTTTTATACTCGTCTATATATAATAAGTACAAAGAATAGACTCGATTTAGGTAGATTTCCTACAAAATCTTTGCTATTTTTTATTATCCTCGCTCTTCCAAGCTTCGGAGGATCCGGAAGTTCATCTATTGACTCTTTTCTCAAAAGAGGACCCATTTAGCAAAATGAACGTCACATTCGAGTTAAGAAATTTAAATTTCCTTTTATTATTGTCATATACTACATATTTACAATATTATACGAGTTAACACTGGGATGAGCGACAGTTGGAAAGAATATAGAGCTCTCCTCGTCCCTTTTTTAATATGCAATTTCTTCCCATTCACTCGATCCGTCCTACCAATAGCTATTATCAATCCCCACTGCTGAAAAAAAATTTGCTCTGTTGCCGATTTCCATTCGTGTATGTCGTGTTGATCGATCTAAATGCATTTCCTCTATCTTGGATCTTTAACAAGTGTCACGCTGTTTCGAATCTTATGACCGTTAGTGCTGTATAGTAGATTAGGAAAAGCATTTACGACTTTTTCGGTTCAAACTAAAAATTTTTAGGTTCCATTTGGGAGTCGTTAGCGGTTATATAACTTTTAATGTAACATCCGCAGCATCAATGGGAATAAATCTACGTCCTGTGTCCGTGCGTTGAATAACGTCATTAGAGAAGAATGCTTAAAATAATATATACATATCTACCCTCTATTCAAGATCAACAGGGAGTTGGTTGTCTAACGCGTACAGTACAAGAACCACCACCTGTAGATTTCGATTGGGTTTCTCTACAGTTGAGACTTTTTATATACTCCCACGCCTTTCTGATGTGTCCTGATGGTCTGTAGCAAACATTTTTTTTCTCATTAGTACTCGATTGCTCCTTGTTCTCTCTTATGTTCTTTATAATTAAGCATAAAATTGCTATAGAGAACTTATAATAAAGGTACGCTTTTTTGATGGAAAAAGGCCTCCTGGTTAAATGTCACTCATT